GAAATGGCAAGCGAGAGAATAGTAAGAAGCTCATAATCATTGACATGGTGATGGGAAACGAAAATTCAAATGATGATGGACTGAAGCTGAGCTGTTGTTTGATATGGCAGAGATGGCATGTCTCATTGGCAAGCAGAGAAATGAAGAAGAGTGGGTAAAGCTCTTCTTTGATGCTGGTTTCATCAAATATAAAGTTAACTATGTTCTTGGTCCTAGAGCTCTTATTGAGGTTTATCGTTGACCAATTTCATACTTAACTATTAGGGCTTTGTGTTTGTAACCAAAATGGCTGTGGTCATAGCCATAACAGTCTCCTTAATAAAGTTTATGTGCCCAAAATAAATAATTGTAAATTTTTCAATGTAAGTGCTTGCTGGGAGTTTTTCCTATTTTTAATAAAAAAAATATTTCCATCTGTTCTTCGAGATCATATGTTTTTTGAGGGATGATTTCTGGGAAAAACAAAAGAAAATTCAAAATCACAGATAAAATTTTTTAAGAAGTGGGTATATTAGCCTATAAATCACATTCAAGTTCGCTTAAAAAATCTCACAAACCAATTTCATGAAATTTTCTTACGATACTTTTGGGAAAGAGATGTTAGTCAAAGCCATATTTATAGCAATTACCAGCAGCTGGAGAGAATATTTTGGGTATGTAGTTTTGCTTCAAAAATCAAATAAATAAGAGAAGCCAAAAATGTCAAACAACTATTGCATTAGTAGGGCAAGTAAAGTTTAAAGAGTTTTATTTAAATATCACCTCAACTCGCACGGAGATGTTTATACTTATCATTAAAAAAATGAAAAATTTAGGATTTTCGATTTTTTTACCAGGATATATGTTTGAGTTATTTATAGATTTCTTTAAAACTACAGCATAAGGATGATGCTACCAAACTATTTAAACCAAAAAAACAAACCAAAAAATTCGGTTCAGTTTTTTTTATATGAGCCGAAGGATGCTCGCCCTACTTTTTGCGGTGCTGCTGCCCAATCCATATAGTTGCCTTTGATCCACGTTCAACTCTGCATTTGTACATATTATTGAAGACTCTGTTGCAAATCAGATTAGCAATGCATGGTCGAGAGCAAGTTTGAATTGTATTTCAGCTTCCGTTGTTAAGTCTTAACACTTTGAGTCAAGATGGATCCAGAAAATCTAGTTGGCAAGAGCAATATATATAATAATAACAATTTAGTGGAATCAAAAAGTAAAAATCTAACTGACTAAATTCGAATTAAGTATATGATCTAAAATGTAGAAAACTATATACTAAGTTGTAAAAATCAGTGTTTTTAAAATCGAACAAGACTGGTCAGTCGGATTAATTCATCCGCAAATCAATAGTCAATCCATCTAGTTTGACATCTAAAGGTAAAGACTTAAAATCAGATAAAATCAGTTCTAATTGGAAAAATCAGAAAACCGGATTGATGGATTTTATACTTATAACTTTGATTGATCTTATGCATCGGAATGATCATCCAATTGTTATTTTTCAATTTTCTTAAGAAAATAGTTAAGAGCGAATTATTTGTCTAAAATTTTATAAGGAAATTATTTTCGAAAAGCAGTATTATATAAATGTAAATATTTTTATGATATTTGAATATTTTATAATATATTTGAATTGTAGATTTGAATTAGATATATAGTATTTCTAGTGGACTATAAAGCGTTCAGTAATTGAAATTACTTAGAATTTAATTATTCAATCCGTGAGCCAAATAAATTAATTACTAAGATTTGAATTATTTGGTCATATAAAATATTATTTTACGGATACAAAATAATTGAATTTGTTTCACATATTAAATAAGTTGAGACATCTATAAAATATGAGAAAATTACTGTGATTGGGATATTAAACGGTATAATAAAATTACAATTTTCTACAGGATGAGAATGTGAACTATAGAGAAAACTGGTCTTGCAGCCAGAGTTAATACGAAGGTTAGAATCAAAGAGTCAACTGTTTTACCGCGAGTGGTGCTTTTTTATGCACTCGTGTTATTCATGTATTTTAGTAATTAGGTATGTCAAAATGGGTCATGGCACGCGAACATGATTCGTCAAACACAAGAAATAAATAAGTTATGGTTGAGGTTAAATGGATTCGTGTCATAAACGGATCACTCATTTATGACACGAATATAAACGTGTCATGTCGCGAGTTGATACGTAAATTAGGCAAGTGATCTGTTTATTTAAGAATGAAGAAGTAACTTTAGTCCTAGATATAAACACTCCAACTAAAACCTATTTAAACTTTATTATTGTATTAATTTTTTTTATTTTAGTTATGAATCTTGAAGAATCAATGTATTTTATATATGAAAATTTCTTTTTAAATATGATTTGAGTTAAATAAAATTTAAAAATATTATAAGCAGGTTAAGTGAGTTATACAAAGCTAAAACGAATCACTTAACTTCTTTATGATATTAGGCGAGTTATACGGATTGTATATGGATCAACACAATCTACTTGACCTATTTATAATAGTAGGCAGGTTACACGTGTTGTGTTCGTGTTATCTCCCTAATTTTCGTGTCGTATTCGTGTCAATAAATTTGACATAATTATTAAATAGATTCCATTCATATCGATCCTAATCGTGTCGCGTGTTAGATAAATCCATGTTGAACCCGATATGCGAAACTGTTTTGAGACTCCTGTTTAGCATCATATATATGTTATATATTATCCAATAATGATTATATATAATATATGTCTGCATATTTCATGACATTGGTTAAGTTCTGTATCTATGTTTGACATTGTTTATTGGTGATTGGATAGCATTAGGACGAAGCAAAACCACTAGTGGTTGGTGGAAGAAAATCTAGGCATCTGGGGTTAGCTGTCCTATTATATGTTGTACACCAAACCCAGAGCAGGCCACGCCTGAGAGAAGTAAATGAATTTCAGTAGATGTGATTATAATGAGTCTACCTATCAAGGGTCTCAAGTACTCTACTGTATGCTGGACATATAATGTAAGTGATCTTTATGAATCATCTACGCATCGGGGTTTTAAATATCTTATTGTATGTTGGACAGTTATCGTTATCGAAAATTAGGTTTATGGTTCTTTCTATCTAAGTCCATTTATTATATGACTATTTGGTGTTATTTGTGTTTGACATACTGTATGGGCACAAAGTTAAGCTCATATTATTTTTACAGTATTTTTAGTTTAGTTTTTATTAAGAATTTTAATATTTTTAATTACTTTAATTAGTTTGTATTTAGATTTATTTATATTTTAATTAAGTTTCCTTGATTCTTAATAATCTTAATAAGTTTGATTTAAAGGATTTCTAGTAGGAAAATAACTAAAATTTATACAGAAAAAGCTAGAGCTGAAAAAATAGAGTTAAAAGCTCAACATGGCCAAGTCACTAAAGTACATGGCCTGGCCGTGTCAAACACCACCGTCATGTTACCAAGAAAAGTTGAAAATTCAAAGTGGGTCGAATTTAATTATTTAGCCTGTGTAGTTTTGGAGCCTGGGCGTAGTTTGTGGATGAAGCTGCATGTGAATAATAAAAGACTTACCTTGTTTGAGTTCCAGCCTATTTGGTCAAAGAAAACTCCTAATTAGGAAGAAATACAACACAAAATTAGTTTCCTACTCAAATAATATTTCTTCCTAATTAGGTCAGTTAGTTTCCTACTTGCAGACACCCTACGAAGTCTATATAAAGAGAGATCATTACAAGAATTAAATCATCGAATCTTGGTTCTTAAATCTTTGTTCTACTCTTTTTTTAGTTTTCTTTCTGTCACGACCCGATTCCGTGGGCCGGACCGGCACTAGGGCCCAGGTAAGCTTAAGGCCCCCGAGGCCCGTAGTAAGCCTAAACTACTCTACCTATGCATGCCACACCAATGAATAATAATAGTAAGCCCATACCAAAGGTTTAATACAATTATTATAACAATCCGGTCCCAAAATTTAAATGTCTCGGTTGAAGTTTAATTTGGGCCTCCTAATCATGATAAGTCCTGTTCAAATACGGTATACTAATCGCCTATATCTAATATATAACATCATCGTTTCAATAGAACGGCATACGACAAGTCTAATGTTAAAAATAACAACAATCCTTATGACTGCGGAGTTTCATAATAATTGAATACTAGACATACTTAATAACGTCGAATTTAATGACAAGAAATATAAAGTTAAACATTTTATAAACTCTTGCGGAGAAGATTGCAGAGCCTTCTGTTGGATGCGGCAACTTCCTAACACCTGAGAAGTTTGGAGAGAAGGGGAGTGAAAAGTTTTTCCGACTCAGTGAAATAATAATAAATAGTACACACCGACCACACAGTCACGCGAAAATGCGCCCTGATATAACCTGATGAACATACAACTGTCATGGGGCATATGAACATAACATCAGCACCGCACAAACAATATCAATCTTCACCATAATCACAACTAACAGTGGGAAATTAGTCAGTGGAGTCACGAACCCCTGATGAGCCGTCCTCTCACATGGCCCATCTCCACATGTGGCAACCAGGGAGCCGATCCCCCACTGGCCGAACCGGTCTAATTCCTCCTCACCTGACCAGCCCTCTCATTGTCTTTCTATTCTTTCTATTTTTTTTTTTTCCATACCAACAGGAGGTAACCCGGTCGTGTCCATACATCTAGATCATCAAGGCGCTCACAACAGGAAGCCACCCTGCGGGCTGCAAGTCAGGATCTAGATTAATCAGGTGCGCCCAATAGAAACAACCTGTGGTTTTCCATATCCACATCAATAGCAGTAGGTGCACACGGGGGCGCCGATCTCCCATTTACCCGGCCAACTTTCATATCATATGCAGGATCCATATCACATATACCATTCTCACAAACCCATGGTGACCCACTTCATCCCAATTCCACACAAACAAATCACAGTAATGTCACAACACACATAATCAAACAATTCATCCATATGCACAATTATATAAGTGTAATTACAATTATAATTATAATGATCGAAACATAATATATATATGATAAAATACTCATAATATGTTGTAAATATGAAAAAAAATGTAATGTTTATAAATAAGTGTTATGTAGATGCAGTGTTGATGTGCATTATTCATTATTACTCACAGTGATGGAGAGCAAGGTTCTAGCTTTGATTCTGTCCTGGAGGAACACTAAATGGACCCGGGCGATCTAAGAAATTACAAGAACGACACAAAAAGAATAATTCTATCAGACAAAATATTTATTCACCACTCTAAAAAATTTTATTTTATATTCTAACTTCTCTCTTAAGAATTTTATTTAGTCCTAACTTTATCTATAAACTTAAATTTTTTGAGATATAAGTTTCTGATATAAGTTCTTTTCTATAATAATTTATTCCTTCTAACTCGTATTTTATTTCCTACCGGAGTTTGTTTATTTTTGCCACCGAAATTTCTACCGAAATTTCGGCGGCATCTCCCCTAAAAATTGAACTATCTACCTGATAAAATATCAACAATTTCACAAATATTCAATCTATACGGCCCATCCGTCGGGCAATTAGTCAAAAAACGTTTCCCATCCTCCATCAATCTCAACATTACCACACAATTAAATTATATATATTACAATAACATCATATCCAAACTGCCTTAATAAAATCAACACTATAATTATAAAGCTGTTAACTACTCATAATTACCAAATTAAATTAACCAAATTAATTAACTATAGATAATAAAATTAATTTAATTAACTAGCATTACTAACATTAACTTTACTAACATTAACTTAACTTAAACTAATTGGCCACAAGTACTAAAGTTAACTTCTTTAACTAATATTACTAAATTAATTAACTTCAAATAATAAAATTAATTCAATTGACTGATATTACTGATACTAACTTGACTAAATAAACTAGCTACAACAATTAGCTACAACTAACTTAACTAATTAATTACTAACACTAATTACTAACACTAACACTAACACTAACTTAACTAAATGAATCAATTAATTTTCATTGTCTAATACTAATTTAATGAACTAATGTTTCATTATCTAATTAACATTACTAATATTAACTTAACTAAACTCATTAATTACCAATAATAAAAACTAGTTTCATTAACTAATATTATTAACACTAACTAAATCAACTAAAATTATTAAAATTAAACTAACTAAATTTAGTAACTAATTAACTACATTAACTAACTAAAATATATTTAAAATAATTTTATACCCCAATATTTATTTTTTTTTGAATTTCAGCTAGACTGGAAGTACCCAAGCATGCCGGATCGGGGAGCAGCGGCTGTTGGTGGTCGGAGGCGTGCTGGAGCGGCGGCTAGGCGGTGGAGATGGCGTGGCCAAGTGGAGGAGGCGCTGCGTCTCGCCGATCGGGAGCAGGAAACTGTGCTGCGCTGCAAAGTTTGGCCGAGAACAAAGAGGGACTGCTGGCAGAGCTGCTGCGACGCTGGACTGCAGCAAGGGCTGTGGCGGCGAGGACTGGGTGGCGTGCGGCGTGGGTGGCGTGAGCTGTTGCTGTCTCGCCAGGAACACAGGCGCAGTGAGGAAGAAGGGAAAGAGGGAAGGGAAAAAGGAAAAAGAAGAAAAAGAAGAAGAAGAAGAAGAAGAAGAAGGAGAGGAAGAAGGAGAGGGAGAGGGGGTGGTGGCAGTGGCGCTGTGGTGGCAATGGCGATGGAGTGGAGGTGAGCTGGGGAGGGGGAAAGTGAGCTTGGCGTTGAAGATAAAAGAAAAAGAGAGTTTTCTAGATGGTTCGGGTCGAACCGGTTTGATTCGGTTCAATTCGGCCCAAATCATCGATTTCAATCGGGTTTTTTTTTTTTTTTTTTTTTTTTTTTTTTTTTTTTTTTTTTTTTTTTTTTTGACTCGGGTTTTCTTGTCGTAGTTAGTTGCATCTAAAAATATTAATATTAAGTTTCCAAGCTGGTCGGTTCACTAAAAATATAATTGAAAAAATAAAATTTTTGAAATAAAATAAAAATTAGAGTCATTTCAATCTTCCCCCCTTATAAAAATTCGTCCTCGAATTTCATAAGAAGCAAAATAAGGTCAGAATACATGCGAGTGAGAAGACAAGTTGTATTCAGCCAAAGAGAAATAACAAAGGCGATCACTACTAATACACAAAATACTTTACATGGAAGGAAAAAGATGAGGATATTCTCTCTGCATTTCCGCTGCTACTTCCCACGTGCATTCCTCCACCGAATGATTTCTCCATAAAACTTTAACCATAGGGATCTCCTTAGATCGAAGTTTACGAATCTGGAAATCAAGGATGCTGATTGGTATTTCTTCATATGTCAAATCTTCACCCACCTGGATCTCCTGTGGCTCTAACACATGAGATGGGTCAGGAACGTACTTTCGTAGCATGGACACATGGAATACTGGGTGTACATGAGAGAACTCGTTAGGCATATCCAACTGATAAGCCACTTCTCCAATTCGTGCAACTACAGGGTACGGTCCAATGTACCTCGGAGCTAGTTTTCCTTTCTTACCAAAACGAAGAACACCTTTCATAGGAGATACCTTCAGAAAGACCAAATCTCCCACTTGAAATGTCACCTCTCTGTGCTTAGGGTCGGAGTAGCTCCTCTGTCGATCAAATGCCGTCTTAATCCTGTCTCGAATGATAGGAACCTTTTCAGATGTGATTTGAATCAACTCAGGTCCTACCAGTTGTTTATCTCCTATTTCCCCCCAACAGATAGGAGACCTACACTTCCTGCCATACAAAGCTTCATAAGGCGCCATGCCGATACTTGCTTGATAACTATTATTATAAGCAAACTCGATTAATGGTAAGTGCGTGTCCCAAAATCCTCCAAAATCTAGTACGCACATCCGGAGCATATCTTCTAGTGTTTGGATAGTCCTCTCGGATATGTCTTCTAGTGTTTGATAAGTCCTCTCCTGGATTGCCTCATCAGTCCCTGCCGGATGAAAAGCCCCGTGACTGAAGTCAAGTCGGTTCCCCAAGGCTCTCTGTAAAGACTGCCAAAATCTCGAAGTTGAAACTGCGTTCCCCGTCAGAGACGATAGGATACAGGAAACTTCCATGAAAGACCACTATCTCTTTAACATACAACCTTGCAACCTGTCAGCAATATAAGAGGACTCACTGAAGAAATAGCTTCTTGTAAGGTCGATCTATCACCCAAATCGAATCATAGCCTCCTGGTGTTTTTGGTAGCCCTACCACAAAATCCATGGTAATTCTTTCCCATTTCCATTCAGGTATCGGTAGTTGTTGCATTAATCCAGAAGGTCTTTGATGCTCTGCTTTCACTTGCTGACATGCAAGACATCTGGATACGAATTCTGCTACATCCTTTTTCATTCCAGTCCACCAATAATTCTCCTTCAAATCCCGATACATTTTAGTGGTACCCGGATGCACATTATAAGCAGCATAATGGGCTTCATCTAAGATCTCCCTTCTGAGATTATCAACATCAGGTACACAAACATGAGTACCCTTCCTGAGCACACCATCATTGTCTAACAAAAAGTCTCCTGATCCGCCAGTAATTACTTCTTGCACAATTCTTTGCATTTGCGGGTCTCTGTCTTGAGCGGTTTTAATTCTGTCAAACAACATTGGTCTTATTCTGAAATGAGCCAACAAACAGTTTGAAGCAGTTGAAGCAGGAATTTCTAAGTGAAGGCCTTCATCAAGCATGTCATCCAATTCCCGAATCAACGGCCTTCTTTCAACCGAAATATGAGCCAAGCTTCCCAACGACTTTCGACTTAGAGCATCTGCTACTACATTAGCCTTCCCCGCATGATACTGAATGGTACAATCATAATCTTTAAGGAACTCCATCCAGCGTCTCTGTCTCAAATTTAAATCTCTCTGCTCAAAAATATACTTTAGACTCTTATGATCAGTGTATATTTCACAGGATACACCATACAAGTAATGCCTCCATATTTTTAGTGCGAATATGATCGCGGCCATTTCCAAATCGTGAGTGGGATAATTCTGTTCATGCTTCTTCAACTGCTTCTTCAACTGTCTAGAAGCATACGCAATGACTCGACCATGCTGCATTAAAACACATCCCAACCCCACTCTGGATGCGTCACAAAACACTACGTATCCTTCATCACCTGATGGCAAGGCTAATACTGGAGCTGTGGTTAAGCACTCTTTCAACTTCTGAAAACTCGTTTCACAAGACTCTGACCACACAAACTTAGCATTCTTCTGAGTCAATTTAGTTAATGGTGCTGCTATGCGAGAAAAGTCTTGCACAAAACGACGGTAATAGCCGGCCAAACCCAGAAAACTGCGAATTTCCGTGACAGTAGTCGGTCTCGGCCAATCGATGATTGCCTCAATCTTCTTGGGATCAACCATGATTCCCTCCTTAGATACCACATGACCCAAGAAATTTACACTTTCCAGCCATTCCAGCCAGAACTTGTCAACATTTGGAAAATTTGGCAATCCAAACCGATGCTCCCAGAGTTTGTAAGCACAATTCTCAGATATGTATATATCTGTTTCACAGTTCTTAAGAATAAACCTAGATATGGTCAATCGTATGAAAACACGATCACAATCGTCCAAGTATGGCTTTGAACACACGGTTTCATCAGATCCATGAACGCTCTGGCGTTGCGTTGGTGAAGGTCCGAAGGACATGACAAGGATCATAATGGCCAGTATCTGTTCTGAAAAGCCTTTAGGAATGTCTGTTCCTCTGAATTTTTTTAAGCTGATGATAACAGACCTAAGGCTAAGGTCAATCTTCGAGAAACATGTAGCTCCTTGCAGTTGATCGAACAGGTCATCAATTCTTGGAAGCGGGTATTTGTTCTTCACAGTCACCTTATTCAATTGCCTATAATCAATGCATAGGCGAAGTGAACCATCCTTTTTCTTCACAAACAGGACTGGAGCACCCCAAGGCGAAATGCTTGGTCTGATGAAGTCCTTATCCAACAGTTCCTGCAACTGTTCTTTCAACTCTTTTAATTCCGCTGGTGCCATTCTATACGGTGGCATGGAAATAGGTTCTGTGCCAGGAATCAGATCAATACAGAATTCAATTTCCCTATCTGGAGGAAGTCCGGGTAACTCTTCTGGAAACACATCGATGAACTCATTCACGATCGGCATGCTTTCTACGTTACGAGTTTCCATTGTGGTGTCTTTAACCAATGCTAGGTACCCTTGACAGCCTTTTCTCAGCAGTTTTCTAGCGCTAATCGCGGAAATTAGATTATAAGGAGCTATATTCTTGTCCACCCTATAAACAAGTTTCTTGCCATCTGGTAGATTAAAAATAATTTCTTTCCTTTTACAGTGGACCTCCGCATCATACTTCGCTAACCAGTCCATTCCCAAGATCACATCAAAATCTATCACATCTAAGATAATTAGGTCTGCAGGTAAATCTACGCCTTCAAGACTAATAGGACAGTTTAAGATGACTGAATCAGTATAAATAGTTTCACTTAAAGGTGTCGATATCAGCAAAGGAACGTCTAACTGATTGGGCACTCTACTGATTGGGCACTCTCTACTTTCATAGCAAACCTAGGAGATGCAAATGAATGGGTGGCACCAGGGTCAAATAATACTCGTGCCTCCAAAGAACAAATAATGAAAGTACCTGCCACCACGGCATTAGATGCCTGAGCATCTCCCGGAGTCAAATGGAAAAGTCGGGGCTGTGCTCCCGCGGCATGTAAATTCTGTCCTGAACTCTGGCCTCTGCCCCTACCAATAGAACCACGGCCCTGCTGGCCAAGAAGTCTAGTACCAGAAGCTGGCGGTGTAGAGAAAGGAGGTTTGAACACACTACCCATGGAAGACTGGGGTGGCACATATCGTGACAGAGAAAATGGACAGTCTCTAGCATAGTGTCCCATCTGATGACACCTAAAACAGGCATTAGGATCAAGATCGCAGTCTCCTTTGTGAGCCTTGCCACACCTGCGACAGACAGTCACACTCGGTCTGTCTGCTGTCGGTCTGCTGCTACCTGAACTATGACCACTACTGGAACCACCTGAATGAGTACCCTTTCTTGGCCACTGTCTCCTTTTATCTTTTCTTCTACCAAAACTTCCTCTGCTTTGGAGGCGAGAACTCGAAGACTGAGCACCCATAACGAAGGATCCACTCATCCCTGATATGCCTAGAGTCTCAAGCGGAGCTACAGTTCTATTACCCTTTCTGCCTGAGATGACTCCATCAGAAATGTATTTAGTCTCCATTTGTCTGGCTAGATCTACCACAGCATTAAAATCTTGTCCCCTCTGCTGGAATAGAGTCGTACACAGCATTCAACCCACTGATAAATCTGTATACCTTTGTGGCCTCATCAGGTACAGACCCTGGAGCATACCTGCTCAATTCTAAGAATCTGGTAGCATACTCATCTATAGACAAATTTCCCTGAACCAAGGACTCAAATTCCCTCATTTTGGCCCTCCTAGTTCCTTCTGGTATGAAACGGTCAATAAAGAGAGAAGAAAATTGCTGCCAATACATCCCTTTAACCATAGGCAAAACATAATCTCTAAACCACATTTCAGCCATACCCTCCATTCGGCGGCCGGCAAATATGATGGATCTCTCGTCATCACAACCCAACTCAGTGCAGAACTCTCTGATTCTGGCTAGAAAGGAATGAGCATCTTCAGTGCCTGTAAACTTAGGTGGTTTATAACGAATGAACCTATCATAAAGGTTATCATTAGCAGCTCTCGGAACAGTAGTTGGTGGAGCCGGCTGAAATGGTTGTGTTGCTGGGTCAGGCATAGGGTGGATGGCATCTGTTGTTGCTGTTGCTGTTGAGTCCCCTGAAAGAATGCTGTTGCTGTTCGAGTCTGAAAAGAACTGTTGCTGTTGAGTCTGAAAGAACTGCTGTTGCTGTATCAACATGTCGTTCATAGCCGCTATAGCTCGCTGAAGTCCAGACATTAGTGTGCTCATTCCTGCAGGATTTTCAGTCACGTTTTCCTCGTCATGAATTTCCTGGATACCTTCCTCCTGATTATTTTCATTGCGATTACGTCTGCCTCTTCGGTGTCTCGGGTTGACTGGATGCCCGGAAGAGGCTTCGTCTGGAGCTGCTCGCTCCGTATTTCCGGATGTTCTCCTCCTAGTATTCACCATACTGAAATTCAAAGTGTAGAACAAAATCCATTAGAACATAACAAGACCAGTCCTAATAGCAGCAATTATATTACTAGTCTAGCTTAAAATATGACTCTAATGTGGGTCCGACAGTACGCATACTCATGGGCCACCCCCAAAAGGATTAGGGATGGTTTGCGGTAACAGGGAGGACGCTTTGGCTGTCCGCCGACATAATCAAGGAGACCTGTTGTCACGACCCGATACTATAGGCCGGACCGGCACTAGGGCCCCGGTAAGCTTAAGGCCCCGGTAAGCTTAAGGCCCCGAGGCCCGTCGTAAGCCTAAACTACTCTACTAACACCAGTCACACCAATGAATAATAACAGTAAGCCCATACCAGTAGGGTTTAAATATAATTATTATACAATCTGGCCCAAAATTTAAATATCTCAATTGAAGTTTAATTTGGGCCTAATCATGATAAGTCATATTCAGAATATGGGTATACTAAAATGCCTACGTCTAATATATAACATGTCATTCCAAAAGAACGCATACGGCAAGCCTAATTAAAATACACAATCCTATAACTGCGGAGTTCAATAATAATCAAATAATAGAATAATTACTACATCCAAATTTAAATAACAGAAATATAAAGTTTACATTTATAACTCTACGGAGAAGATTGTAGAGCTTCCGTTGGATCGGCAACTTCCTAATACCTGAGAAGTTTGGAGAGAAGGGGGTTTTTCCGACTCAGTGACATATAATAAAATTAGTACACACCCACAACAACAGTCACACATACAGTCACACGAAATGCGCCCTAATATACTGAATGGACACACAACGGTCAGGCATATGACATAACATCAGCACCCACAAACAATATCATCTTTATATAATCACAACACGTGGAAATTAGTCAGTGCAGTCACCGAACCCCCGATGAGCCGTCCTCCCACATGGCCCATCCTCTCACATGTGCACCAGGGAGCCGATCCCCCATACTGGCAGACCGGTCTAATCCTCACTTGACCAGCCCTCTCATTGTTTTTCCATTCTCTCTATTCTTTTCCATACCAACAGGAGGTAACCCGGTCGTCTCCTCTAGTCATCAGGCGCTTCACAACAGCAGAGGGCCACCCTGCGGGTGCGGCAGATCTAGATTATCAGGTGCGCCCAATAAAGAAACAACCTTTGTGGTTTTTCCATACACACAGACATAGCAGTAGGTGCACACGGGGGCGCCGATCTCCCATTTACCCGGCCAACTTTCATATCATATGCAGGATCCATATCACATATACCATTCTCACAAACCCATGGTGACCCACTTCATCCCAATTCCACACAAACAAATCACAGTAATGTCACAACACACATAATCAAACAATTCATCCATATGCACAATTATATAAGTGTAATTACAATGATCGAAACATAATACATATATATATACGATGAAATAATTATAATATGTTGTAAATATGAAAATAAAAATGTAATGTTTATAAATAAATGTTATGCAAATGCAGTGTTGATGTGCATTATTCATTATTACTCACAGTGATGGAGAGCAAGGTTCTAGCTTTGATCCTGTCCTGTTCTAGCTTTGATCTGTTCTGGAGGAGCCTATGATGGACGGGCATCTTAAGAAGATACAAAGAACGCACACAAAAAAATAAATTCTATCAGACAAAATGATATTCAATTCACCACTCTAAGAATTTATTATCCTAACCTTATCTATATAAACTAATTTTTGAGATATAAGTCTTTGATATAAGTTCTTTTCTATAATAATTTATTCCTTCTAACTCGTATTTTATTTCCTACCGGAGTTTGTTTATTTTTGCCACCGAAATTTCTACCGAAATTTCGGCGGCATCTCCCCTAAAAATTGAACTATCTACCTGATAAAATATCAACAATTTCACAAATATTCAATCTATACGGCCCATCCGTCGGGCAATTAGTCAAAAAACGTTTCCCATCCTCCATCAATCTCAACATTACCACACAATTAAATTATATATATTACAATAACATCATATCCAAACTGCCTTAATAAAATCAACACTATAATTATAAAGCTGTTAACTACTCATAATTACCAAATTAAATTAACCAAATTAATTAACTATAGATAATAAAATTAATTTAATTAACTAGCATTACTAACATTAACTTTAATTTAATTAACTAGCATTACTAACATTAACTTAACTTAAACTAATTGGCCACAAGTACTAAAGTTAACTTCTTTAACTAATATTACTAAATTAATTAACTTCAAATAATAAAATTAATTCAATTGACTGATATTACTGATACTAACTTGACTAAATAAACTAGCTACAACAATTAGCTACAACTAACTTAACTAATTAATTACTAACACTAATTACTAACACTAACACTAACACTAACTTAACTAAATGAATCAATTAATTTTCATTGTCTAATACTAATTTAATGAACTAATGTTTCATTATCTAATTAACATTACTAATATTAACTTAACTAAACTCATTAATTACCAATAATAAAAACTAGTTTCATTAACTAATATTATTAACACTAACTAAATCAACTAAAATTATTAAAATTAAACTAACTAAATTTAGTAACTAATTAACTACATTAACTAACTAAAATATATTTAAAATAATTTTATACCCCAATATTTATTTTTTTTTGAATTTCAGCTAGACTGGAAGTACCCAAGCATGCCGGATCGGGGAGCAGCGGCTGTTGGTGGTCGGAGGCGTGCTGGAGCGGCGGCTAGGCGGTGGAGATGGCGTGGCCAAGTGGAGGAGGCGCTGCGTCTCGCCGATCGGGAGCAGGAAACTGTGCTGCGCTGCAAAGTTTGGCCGAGAACAAAGAGGGACTGCTGGCAGAGCTGCTGCGACGCTGGACTGCAGCAAGGGCTGTGGCGGCGAGGACTGGGTGGCGTGCGGCGTGGGTGGCGTGAGCTGTTGCTGTCTCGCCAGGAACACAGGCGCAGTGAGGAAGAAGGGAAAGAGGGAAGGGAAAAAGGAAAAAGAAGAAAAAGAAGAAGAAGAAGAAGAAGAAGAAGGAGAGGAAGAAGGAGAGGGAGAGGGGGTGGTGGCAGTGGCGCTGTGGTGGCAATGGCGATGGAGTGGAGGTGAGCTGGGGAGGGGGAAAGTGAGCTTGGCGTTGAAGATAAAAGAAAAAGAGAGTTTTCTAGATGGTTCGGGTCGAACCGGTTTGATTCGGTTCAATTCGGCCCAAATCATCGATTTCAATCGGGTTTTTTTTTTTTTTTTTTTTTTTTTTTTTTTTGCAGTTGCACTAAAATATTAATATTAATTTCTAAGCTGTCGGTTCACTAAATATAATTGAAAATAAATTTTTGAAAATAAAAATTAGAGTCATTTCACTTTCTTTCAAGACTTCGAGCATTCAAGTTTGTGTAAAGAATTAAGGAAGTCGTCCATGCTATTTGTTGATTAGGTTTTATATCTGAACTCTTAATCTTGTTTTTACTTTTCATTATTCATATTGATTATGAAATTATTTTCAAGTTTAATTGAGTTTTATTTAATTTCTATGATGAACTAAACTCTTATACTAGGGATTTGATGTAACTTAATTTATATTCCAATTTATAGTATTAAATTTGCTTTTCTTTATTCAAAGTATAATTTATTATTGAACTTATTCAAAGCTAGAGTTTTCTCCCCTGTATTGATTTATTTCATTAATCACTATCGAGAAAAAGATTTTGATATGAAAAGGTAATAAATTAATGAGAATAATAACTGATGCAGAAGCTATGATGGTTTGACGCGTGGAGATTCTCATAAGTTTAACGACCTTAGGTTTATGCAATTCATAAACAAACTCTATAAAACTTAATGATTTAATTCATGTTTGATTATGCTATTGGAAGATAGGTAATTAATTAGACCAGGTTAAAATAACTAATAATACATCGAGAGGTAATTAATTAGACCAGATTAAAATAACTAATAATACATCGAGAGAGCTTGTTAATGATTTTAGAGTTGTTTCCTCATATTCGAACAATTAAAATTGATTATCAAACTCATAAAATAAATTAGATAGAATTAAGTGAAGTCAAAATCCCTAGTAGCTTTTAATCATTGATTTCTTTTCATCAAATATTCTTGTTTAATTTCTTATTCATTGTTTTATTTTATTTTTTATTCATTGTTTTATTTTATTTTTTTATTTTTCAATCTATTTTCTTTATTGTAGTTTAAATAATAGTAGATTAATATAATTTTAGTACTTGTTATATAATCTCGGTGAGACGATACTTTACTCACTCTTAATTACATGTTTGCTATTTCTTGCACTTGCGAATTTACCTATCATTAGCATAGTTGATTGACACCAGACATGTTTTATTTAACATCATTCGTTCAGTTTGAAGTTCGTTTTCGCCTCTTGTTTTTTCCAAGTTACGAGCAAAATGCTAATAATCGTTAAAGCCCTGAAGTTTTTCTATTTAATAGTTATTAGTTACCAGTGGAGGCGGTAACCTAGCTGAAATCATTATATATATATAGAGAGAGGAAAATTAAGACTATTCTCATGTGTATTGATTGACAAAAATACCGATTGATTGAAAAAATAAAAGGTAATTTAATTTTGATTGGTTATTAATTTTTTTATTTGAATATAAATACTTTATTTAGTATATACGACGCTACTAAATTTATGGATTGGCTAGTTATTAATTTTCCTATTCAACGCATACTTGCACTTTTTATGAGGTTCAAAAAGAACCAAATTATAGATGAAATATCAAATTTTAAATTGGTTTGATAATTATATGAACAATAACAATTAACCAATATATGATATGAGCACACGATAAAAGAAAAAGCAATTAAAATAATTGTTGCAGTTGTGTAGACTCCAGTTTATATTGTGTCATTTATATTTTCCAACACAAGAGAAATAAAAATAAGAACAAAGAGAACCAAATTACAAGAGCTATGGAAATATAGACCAATAGTAATAATATTTTTGTTACGTTTACTTCTTTTGGCATATTTATTTATTAATTACTATTCTTTAGGTATTATCTAACCTAACCTTGAAACATTTTGACAAACAGGATTTTTAATATCAACAAGCATAAACTTAAATTAATATAAATATAATTATGAACTATTTTAAGTATAAATTTTTTAGTTAGTATATTTTAAATTAATATCAACAGGATTTTTATATTTTTATGATTTGATTTGATATATTTTAAAAAATAAATTTTCAAATAGAATACACAATTAAACCTTTTAAATTTTTTAAATATTTATTTTTCAAAATTTATTTAAATAAAATGAACATATGTGTGTGTGATAGGTGTATAGTTTGAAATTTTAATTTTAAAAATATATAATATTTTATTGATATATATTTTATTGATATATAATATTCTATATATATTGAAACTTTTTTTGTAAGTGAGTTCTCAAAAGAGTTTTATTTTTAATAATAATTTTTATTTCTAGTTGAAAAAGAAATTTTAAGGGCAAACGATTGTGGAAATTTTCTTTTTCTATATGATTGTAGGAAAAATTACTGTTGTTTTTGGAAATGATATAATGTTTTTTTATGTAATCTTTTTTTATTAATTATTTAATTTATTTATTTATTTTAAATTTGTAACTTAGAATAATAGAGAAAAAAATATTTGAATAAACTCATTAACTAATCAATACTGAATTGTAGCATGATTTGCATTGTAATATCCATTTATTGACTTTGGTTTAGTCTCTTTTTTTTTTGGTACATCAATATTAAATTTCATTAAATTATAACATTTCCAGTCAAGAAAGGGTTGATTTTAGAAATTTAAATTAATAATTCTTTAATATAATATTATTTCTTGTTATTTGTTGGGTTCTGAAAAGAGTTTTATTTTAATAACAATTTTTTTATTTTATTTTTTGTTATTGAATTAATTTTTAATTTATTTTTTGTTATTGAATTAATTTTTAAATACTATCACTTTAATTTAGTAAGAACTTTATATCCCCTTGCAAGATGGCATCTTGATGATTAAGCATTTTTAATTTTGTTGAAAATTTTTTTCTTATATCCTAAATTTGTTTGATTTGAAAGAAAATAATATTTAAGAAATTGAAAATAAAATAGAACTATATATTTTTATATTGGATCACTTTTTGGGTTTCAAGAATGTGTATATTATATATATATTCCTTTGTCTAATGTATTGGGTGAATAATACTGTAACTATAGCTAAAGTGATTACCATTATCAATTCAAATCATTTTCTCTCTCTTTTTTTTTTCCCTCTTACCTAGCAATAAAAATAATTTTTTTATTATTTTTCATTGTAGTTATATATAAATATTGACTTTAAGGTTAAGAGCAGGGAATTAGAGATTGAGTGGTGACTTGATTTTCTATTTGGGCACCTATTAGGATTTTAATAATCTGCATTTATAAATTAGGGACTAAAGGATTAAGTCTATGGATTGGCTTGAACTTTAGTTTGAGATCACTTCATTATATGAAAGTAGTATTAAGTACATAAGAAGTAACATTATAATTAGTTTGTATGAAAAAGTGCAATACAAATTAACTAATTGTATTTATTTTAATTTAAACAAAAATTTATTTTTTAATATTATATAAATAAAAAATTAAAAGAGTATAAAAAATGAGTTTATAACGAGCATAATCAACTAAAATCAACGAGTGCCAACGCAAGTAAGAAAAAAAAAAAGACTAGTATAGTACTAAAACGTTTCCCGATATAGGGAAAAACATGAGGTTCTATAAAAGCCCCCTACTCAACTTTTTGTAGTGACAAAAATATCTATCGAAGATCTTTAATTCTATACAATATGAAAAAAAAAAAGTATATTTATTTTGATATGTGAATTAGTTTTTTTATTTTAAAATAGAAATACTATATAGTAGTATATCAACGCTATTACAGAACTTTTATGGATTATGTTCTATATAGTTTAAGAAAAGCACAATAAAAGTTAATTTAATTCGTAAATTATCGATATATTAATTAATTTCCTCATTCACACAGAACTTGCACCTTATTCATGGAGGAATAGTCGAAAAAAGAATAAATTATTGTGAAAAAATACCAAATTGATAGATTTAGCTTTGAAATAATTATATAAAATGGAGGTACAACCTTACCAAAAATACTTAAAGAATATGAAGAACTTAAATCAATTGTAAAATCATTTATTAACTATTCTACACACAATGAAACAAAAATAAGAACAAACGAGAAAATCAAAATTACAAATGAGGATATGAACAATAAGCACCGAATTGAGTTCAAAAATAAATAGTCTATCTGTTGACCTTCCCTTTCTTTGGCACTATTTAATTTCCATTAGAATTAACACCCTATTAAGTAAACCTAACTTAAAGTGAAGACATTTGAAACAACCAATAAGAAGAGTTTGTCTTTAAATATCCAACACCACCTAATAATAGATAGTCGTTTAAATTTAAACTTATAAAAGTAATCAAAATTATCCTGAATATAAATGATAATTATAACACGTTACATGAATACTATTTAGTTAGTAATGGAATGGACAAATCCTTACAAAATTTAATTGTATTTTGACAAAAAATAATAAGTAATTTAAAACTTAAATTGATGCCTTTTATTATGGTACTATTGTTTTGTAATATTTGAATATAATAGCATCTCTTATAGTTAAATATATTTACATACAACATAAAATTTTTTATGCAAATTTCTATCATTTTCCATAGTATGACCTGCATCTTTAAAAAGTATTATTATTCATTTACTTTAAGTATGTATAAAATAGTGAGTTATAATTTTTTATGTTCAAAACAATGATAAAATATACACCAATGACGACAAACTTTATGGAATAGATATCTAACTAGACTTATCATGAGTTCAAAAAGAACCGAAAATATATTAGATGAAATTACCGATAGATCGATTGGTTTGATAATTTATATGAAATAAATATACAATATGAATAATAACAATTAGTCAATATATAATAGAAAAGAGAAAGCAATTTAAATAATAACAATTGTATAGACTCCAATTTATATTTCAATTATAGTAAAATCAGTGTTTTTGGTTAAAAAATAAAAGTAATTTAATTTTGATTAGTCATTAATTTTCCTATTCAACGCATACTTACACTTATTATGAGGTTTGAAAAGAATCAAATTATAGATGAAATACCAAATATTAGATTGGTTTGATAAATATATGAATAATAACAATTAACCAATATATGATATAAGTTAT